AGTTTGTGCCTGTGAGCAGAGAGACACCATTTTATATGGAGACGTAAAACACGAGAACAAAGAGGCTTCCTGCACAGGATGCCCTTATATTTACCGTAATAGCTGCTTTATCTGTGTTTATGTAGTAGTTTTCACAAGTACAAAACATCCTTCTATAAAAACATTCTGTGCCTGTACAGCTGTTATGAGGGGCGAAATTATCTGCAGAGACCAGAAGAGTTTGTGTATCAGGCTGTAAGAGATCACTGAGCACCGAACAACCTTAGTTTTTTGGGCCAATCCTTTACACACATACAAGGCAAATTCCAAAATGGCGACCTATCCATCCCTCTCTCACATGCTGCAGTCCAGCTTTGTATACTCTCAGACCACACCTTCTCAATTCAAACTGGCCTATGACATAATCCTTCCAGAGAAGGAAAAGAAAAACAAAGAAGACCAACCAAACTCCTACTCTTTCCAACTCACATCCTACTAAAGAGGATTGCATTTGAGGTTTCACCTGTTATTTACTTTCTGATATATTGCCCCAAACAAATAAGAGCCTGTTCACTTCAAACGCTTCATCGAGGTCAAACACTGTAAATATACGTCACAGTTACTCAGACTGAGGACATTACAGTGAAACTCCTTTTTTAAGGTCAGGAGGAGAAGTGATGATCAGACCTCATACAGATCTCTCTGGAGCACTGATCTATTTTATAAGAGGGAGTGTCGGGTGCCATTATCCTCAGTTTGGACTGTTTAGTTTCCCACGTATGTTTCCTGTTTTATTGTGTTAGTCATCTGTCTGTGTGCATTATGTTTCATTTTACTTCTTCTGTTTCATTAGTTAGATTTATCCCAGCTGTGTTCTCACCTGTTTCCACTCATCATCATTATCCAGTCTATTTAAGCCCTCACGTTCTCTCAGTTCCCTTTTAACTCCTCGTGTGTTTCCCATTTAATTCCAATCATTCATGTTCAATTCAGTCTGTATTAAAAAATGTGGATATTGTAAACCAGCCTGTGAGTCCTGCTTTCTCTACACACCAGATTGTGACAGTGAGTTGTGAGACATGGAGTAAAATTACTTCTACATGTGAGATTCAGTGACTGACTGGGAGAAAGTTGGCAGAGGGTTCTGCAGACGGGGTTTTCAAGAGCTTGGCTGGTATATTCAAAGATATGAATATATTAGTCTTAACTGAACCTCAGAAGGGATGAAACTGCTGGGAAAATCATCAATAATCTATAATCAATACATTCAGTATGAGCGTCTCTGCTGGCATTAAAAACTCATTTCCTACAGCAGTGTTTAAATGTCAGTTATTAATGAAATCGGGTTCAGTGTACAACTGCCACAGTCCCTCTGATACCGGTGTGTGTGTGTGTTGGGTCTAATTGATATCTGAAACAGTAATGAGCTGTAATTGTAGCTGTAGGGAAACCTGCTGCAGTCAGAGGAGCTGCTGTTTAATGCGGAGCACATCTGAGGCAGGGTGTTTGGCACGAAGCTGTAATTAAACCGTTTTTTCTCACAGCTGAGACGTGAAGCCGCTGCACCGCGGCGGAAAATCAGAAGTTTAAAGTTACTTTGTGATTCAGGCAGCAGCTTCACACCACGCTCTCTGTCAGCTTACATTTTCCAGTTTTCCCGCATGTTTCCAAGAACAGACACATGGAACAATAACTCCCTCCCCCTGAAGTTTCTTGAAGTCTTAGAGATAAATGCTGTGCACTCAGGCTGCAGAAACATCAGCACGTGTGATGTTCATCTGTGGATGAAGTTAGGTTTGTGTTCCTTCTCTGAGTCTCTGATGCAGCAGAAGTTTGATGGTTCTAGTCTGAAAAGAAACATTCTCTCTGCGTCATCCCTCGCTGGGTTAGTCTGAGTGCTGATGATCAGCGCGCTGTTACTGATGCCCTCTCATGGCGTCCTGTCGAGCCTGCAGTCGAGTTGCGGTGCCTTTGAGTTTCAGTCCTTTGGGGTTATGACCTATGATCACTTCTGTGTCTTCATGTCTTTAAAGCTTTCCCATCCGTCCATCTTTCTCTCGCTTAGTTCCTTCATCGTCCCTGATTATCATTTCCTGTTTTATTTTGATAAGTGCATTTTTCTTTCTCACTGAGCTGCATCTCCTGATGATCAGTAAGCTCGTCTTCTTCGTCCACTTCATCATGGTCACTCATGAAATCATTTCATGAAGGGCATCCACTTAAAAAAATATTAATAATAGACTGACATTTTAGAATCTGCCAACTGAAACATACAGAGCTTTCCACTGTGGTGACCTCGTGTGAATAACAGAGCAACTAAACAAGCTTTAATGCAGATTCATGAAAACACTCAAGGACGCTGCCTGACTGCATTTCACATGGATTTGTGGCAGTTAGGGTCTTCATCCTCTTCTCAGCCAATGAAATCCTCATTTCCAGTTTTAAAAAAACAACAACAACAACAATACATAGGATGGGGGTGGGGTGGAGGGGATATCACATGACCCAGAGAGCCACAACATGAACACTAAAGTGAAACAACAGCATCATGCAATCATGTTTGAAATGAAGGAGGCTGTCCTGTCTTAGATGTACATGAGTGTCTGTGTGTGTGCGTGTGGGTAAACAGGAAACAGTCATACAGCTGTTGAGTGCTCCTCTTCAGGCGTTTGGTTGGGTTGTTGTGGTAAATAAATCGCTTTATTTCTGTGCAGGAGGGAAAAAAAAGGTGACTGACCTTTGACCTGCAAATCCCTGGCAGCCAATTAGCTCGAAGTGTTGAGGGCAGCATGTTGATTAGAGCGATGGATTATTTGTGTGTCTCTGTTTAATGATAATCACTGAAATAAAGCAAGTCAGGTCTGTGTGAGCAGTTCTGACCTCTGAGAGGCTCGAGGAGAGTCAAAGCAGACAGATTCTAAGGCAGTGCCTGGTCTGTGTGTTTCCCTGCTTTCTCCAAGGGTTTGTGGAGCTACATTCTGATGGACCGCAGACACAAACTGGGCCCGGTGCAGCCAATCACAAATCATTAAACTCACCGTGTCTGCAGATGTCTGCAGATGAGGTGTGCGTGAGAAGAAACGCACACCTCAGAGCGCTGGGCCTGTAACGGCCCTGACCATGATGTTTACCCCGCAGTCGATAATGATGGAGAGTGGCGAGATTTTCACAAACTCATAACGAGAAAAACAACGACGGGAACACACACACAGACTCCCTGTTAGTTCTGCAGGGAGCCATCAATCAAAGATTCTGAATGACAGCACACACACACTGGCAGCATTGATTTGAGCTGCTCTGGCTTCGTTGTGTTCTGTGATTTAGGAGCAGTGTGAGACCTCCTGCCTCCTGCCTGCACCTCCTCTGACTGCTGATGGAGGAGCTCAGCACAGCTCTAACTCACTTAATGGATCAACCTGCTCTGTGTGTAGGTTTCATGGACATCCATCTCTTCGGAGCGTCTCTAAGAGCCCGTCATGTGACTTCTTGTGTGATGAAGACTGCGCTCTTTGGGCTGCTCATGTCTGTGCTCTTTTTGGTACTCTTCCTGATGTCTGCCACGTCTATTCAGCTCTGCGCAGTTTTAAATGAGCTCCACATGCTGGTTAACTCTTCCTCATCTCACATGCTCTCTGGCCTGAAGTTAGTCTGTGTGCTTCTTCCTGTTAGCAATGGCTGACAGGAAGAAGCGATCCGGTGCTTATAATGTTGTTTAGAGGGTCTGCGAACTGCCGAGCACCTACTCTTCTCTGACTTCACTTGATTTCAGTGGGGCTCACTCAGACTGACAAACGAACATCTGGCTACTGATGTTTCGGAGCTGTTCAGCTGCCATCTTCTGTGAGAGGAAATCCCAAAGTTAAGCACGCTGGCTGAGAGTAACAGGTGTCAGACAGAAAGCAACTTCTTTAAAAAAGTCTGGAGATACACATGGCTATGATGTCACAGCACTCCATAAACAGAAAACTGGTTAGCAGCCAGAGTTTATGAAAAATGAGGAGACTCCAGATGTGTCGACTCCTCTGACCTCCTGCAGTGAGAGTGTGGAGCTGCAGTAAAACAGGCCCAGGCACTTTGGCAAACACTGGATCAGGTCCATTAGACTAATGAGTCTAATGGACCTGACGATGCCAGGCAGTCCGGCTGGAGACCAGGTCCAGGATCTCTGCTTCCTTCTCTCTAAGGCTGGATCCACTTGAGCTCCTCTCCAAATGAAGCATTTGTTAAGTTGTGTCTGTAGGATGACCAGCTGGCCTTCAGACTATTAGAGCGCTGCTGCCTGAACATTTTGGTCGAATCAGTGCGTTTCAGGATGACATACTTTATTTCACAGCTCAGTGATTTTCGGACAGTTTCTCAAAACTAAGTGAGAATTTCCTTTAACTTCAACCATCTGCAGCGCTTTACACGGATCCCTGAAAGCATTAGAGACCACAGTTAAGATGTTATACTGACCGTGTGCTGGGACAGTGTGTCCACTCAGCTTTTGCATTAAGCTGTTTCAGATTCAGATCCACACAAGAACAAACACACAAGGATACAGCAGCGCTCTTTCTCATAAATTTTGGAAATGTTTGATATTTCACACACACACACACACACACACACACACACACACACACACACACACACACACACACACACACAGCTTTCATCTCTCTCTCGCTCTCTCTCTCTCACACACACACACACAGTATTTTTTTCTCTCGCGTTAATGATGGGACCGCTGAGATTCACCTGCTGAGCCACAGCTCTCCCTCATACAGGCAACTTTTGTAATAAGTACATGAACGCGGAGCTCCTCCTCCCCGGACTTCTGCTGCCTGAGGAAAAAACAAAGAGACGTCCTGCGCGCTCCCTGTGAAGCCTAAAACAATTTGCTCCACCTGACGGGGGCGCGCGTGCCCGCCAGGGCTTACACACGGTCCGCGTGTCTCCATCTGATCCGAGAACTGCTCCATGACACGCCCCCTCAGAGAGAGAGAGAGAGGAGTGTGTGCGCCTCCCTTTCTCTCTCTGTGTGTGTGAGAGCGAGCCTCCTCAGCGCAGCTTCGAGTCTGTCCTCGCTGCTCCTCGCGCTGCTCCTCGCGCTCAGCTCTCGACATCAGGGGGACCGTTGGCGGGCAGAGCCTGGACAGAGCATGCGTGGCGGCCGCGTGTGTGCGCGTGGAGCGGGTCCGAGCGGCGAATCAAAGAGGAGAGCGACGCTCTGAGAGTTTTTCCCACTTTTACGCGTTTCTGTACACGCGCGGCACACGTGGACGTCCGTGACCCCGCCGCGTGGCACTGGTGCGTACGGCCCGTTCTTCGGGCTCCCCGGCTACCCCCTTCCCCCGCATGTCCTCCCGCGGCTCGGCCTGACCCCTCTCTGAGCGCGCGCACGGCTCTGGGAGCAGCATGGCGGCGGGAGTGGCCGCGTGGCTGCCGTTCGCACGCGCGGCGGCCATTGGCTGGATGCCGGTGGCCAGCACGCCCATGCCACTGCCGCCCCAGGAGAAGCGGCGCACGAAGGACGGGCTGCTGGTGCTAAACGTGAGCGGCACGAGGTTCCAGACATGGCGGGACACGCTGGAGCGCTACCCGGACACGCTGCTGGGCAGCACAGAGCGAGACTTCTTCTTCCACGAGGAGACCAACGAGTTCTTCTTTGACCGTGACCCGGACATCTTCCGTCACATCCTCAACTTTTACCGAACTGGGAAGCTGCATTACCCCCGTCAGGAGTGCATTGCGGCGTACGACGAGGAGCTGGCGTTCTTCGGCATTGTTCCAGAGATCATCGGGGACTGCTGCTATGAGGACTACAAGGACCGGCGGCGTGAGAACCAGGAGCGCATCCAGGACGATGAGGACATTGAACAGTCCAATGAGCCAGTGCCCGTTGACATGAGCTTCCGGGAGAGCATGTGGCGCGCCTTTGAGAATCCGCACACATCCACCATGGCTCTGGTTTTCTACTATGTCACCGGGTTCTTCATCGCAGTGTCGGTGCTCGCCAATGTGGTGGAGACGGTCCCGTGCGGTACCGCGCCCAGCCGTGTCAAGGTGATGTCATGTGGTGAGCGGTACGAGCTGGCCTTCTTCTGCCTGGACACTGCGTGCGTCATGATCTTCACCGTGGAGTACCTGCTCCGCCTGCTGGTCGCTCCCAGTCGCTACAAGTTTGTGAAGAGCGTGATGAGCATCATCGACGTGGTGGCTATCATGCCGTACTACATCGGCCTGGTCATGACCGACAACGAGGACGTGAGTGGTGCCTTCGTCACACTACGTGTCTTCCGGGTGTTTCGGATTTTCAAGTTCTCGCGGCACTCTGCGGGACTTCGCATCCTGGGCTACACGCTGAAGAGCTGTGCCTCGGAACTCGGCTTCCTGCTCTTCTCGCTCACCATGGCCATCATCATCTTCGCCACTGTCATGTTCTACGCCGAGAAGGGCATGTCCGGGAGCAAGTTCACCAGCATCCCCGCAGCCTTCTGGTACACCATCGTCACCATGACGACCCTGGGGTAGGTGATGCTGACCATGTGTGTATGAAGTGGGTGGAGCTTCTTGTCCAAAAATGGGCGGAGCTAAGAGCGTGTTGGTGTTTGGTTTGAAGACATCAGTTTTCAGTGTTTAAGGGCAGCTGTCCGTGGTGCTGAAAAAGAGCTGCCGCTGTCTCAGTAAAAAGGACACTTGAGTCTCTATGATCACATGCCTCTGCTGCCTCCGTTTCAGAAAAAGAAAGAGTGAAGCTCAGCAGTAGGGTGTGAATCTGCAGGGGTGAGAATGCAGCTCGTTGTTAGCTTGAGTATGTAAACAGAAAGGCTTTGCAGGTTTACGTTAGTTTGGGTTAGTTACAGCTCGGTGATGCACACCTCTGTCAGTAATGGGACTGAGTTGTGGTGAGCACTCTGGAGTAGAAATCTTTCTCCTGTTTGTACCTCACAACCCACGTTTTACTGCTCCATCATGTTTTTCATGTTTTTTTCATAGGGGCCAAAAACTGTGTAGATGTGTTAGCGCCACCTGCAGATGATGTTAAAGCAAAGCATGTTTTAGATCAGCATACAGCTGCAGGAATGGTTCGATCTTCCTGAGAAGTAGTGAACACTGAATATTCAAAATATTAAAATCATGACTCGCCTCGCTGTGTGTCAGAAAACATTTGGAGCTTCAAGTTCTCTCTCTCACACACACACACACACACACACACACACACACACACACAGATCTGTGGTTTTGGAGGCATGTTCAGGTGTAACTGTGTTTTTTCAGGGTTATGAAGGTGGTTCATGTCTTACCAGTTACATCACCATAGTAACAGCAGATCATGAGGCTGAATGTTGATTGTTTGAATCAGCTGGAGAACTGAAAGTAGGACCAGATGCTCACTGTAATCACACACACACACACACACACACACACACACACACACACACACACACACACAC